CAGCTGAAGGAAAGGAGGGGCTTAGGGATGGCTTCAGAGGAAAGATCCAATGAGAGTGAGCGGGCAGAAGGCATGTGGGGAAGGGCTGAGTTTCTCTTGCTGTTTAAGCCGTAGCATTCTACCAGGAGCTCACTTAAAAACAATGGCGCTCTCTGTAACTGAGGTAGTGTGTTAGATGCTGGCTTCCTTTGCTCTTTGTAGCAACACAGATTTCTTCTTGAGATTTTTCTTCATATGCCATAGACTAAAGGGCTCAAATTGAGGCCGTGACTTGCAGTGGTACTGGATAAAAGTTCCTTGTCATTTCTGTTAGGTCACCTCTATCTCACACCTTTCCTGGTGGTCTCAGATCTCCTCACTGGGATTTCCACTGGGAAACCTGCCCCTCATTCGGATGGCCCAGCTAGGGTGGCCTTCAATGCTGTCCCTGGGCAGATGCTCTTCAACCAGGAGAAAGCCACCCTGCGGCTAGGCTTGAATCAGGCCCTGACAGGCGAAGGCGGAGGGATGGGCTCAGCTCTGTTAATTCTAATTACATCTGTGCTTTTATCATGGAATTGTGCAAACTTAAGCAATCCTTTAACTGACAGCTTTTCCAGAAAGAGTTCTTGGCTTCCTGCTTTACAATTCTTTAAAATTTGCATTATTTGAACATATTAGTTAAAAAGACTCTTTCTGCCCCAACCTTTTATAAACTTGGTATGTCTATATTCCTTTAAAGCAACTCTCAGCCATGAGGGTGACTGCACCGCTTGGGCAAAATATGGGCATCACACTGATGACTCTTCTGCCCCATGAGCGAGGGCTGCAGGAGCTTTGGAAATCAGGCTCAGGTGTCATTCTTGTCTGTGTCTAAATGAGCTGAGTCATTACAATATTAAATTTTTTAAAAATGAAATGATTATGCATATTTTACATTTTGAATTTTTAGAGAAAATTTGAATGCAAGTAGAGTTAAGCTAAGTACAGATTAAACACAGCTGTCCAGATGTCTGAATTATCAAAAGATTTCATAAGTAAGCAGTTCTTTAGAAAAATGAGCTCTTTTGTTCAATTCTTAGAGCAGAGCCCACATTTATTTGTACAGGAAAATTCCATTTCACAAATAGGGTAAGAGTAGAAATTAAGGGACTTGTTAATATATGTGTTACTTTTCTGAATGGAGAAGAAATAATCAGAGTCCAGGAAACTCATGGAAATGATGATAGATTTACATTAATTTACATATTTTTCTTCTTGCTAAGATCTAAATTCCCTTTTAAAGCCAACATTACTCCTAAAGTTTTCTGTTGTCTTTTTCAAACTTTGAATCTGTTCTACTTTCTATCATTGAATTTTTTAGTTTTATTTATTTATTTGTTTTTTTCAGTATTGAGAATTGAACTCAGGACTTTGTGCTTACCTGGCAGGCATTTAAGCCACTGAGCTTATGTCCCCAACTCTCTTTTTGAAACTTTAGAGAATCAAAGCATTACTTAGAAAAAAGTCTACTAAAATCATATTTCTGTAGTGGAATGTTAGTAGCTGTATTTATTTAATATTTACTTACTTTACCATAAAAGCAAGAAAAGGCAGAGCTGCTGTAGACCACTCTCTCGTTTCCTTGGCCTGCCACCGATGTTCTGAAGGCTTTCTTCCTCCTCAAGCCTACTCATCAAGCAGCTTATAAAATTCGGATGGTAACCTAGTCCTTCCAGGTTGTTGTAAGAGGCCAAACCGAATGAAATTCTTGCACTAGCACTTGAGAACATTGTTGTGACCAAAATAACAAGATCTGAAAGAAAAAGTAGCATTTCACATAATGCAACACTTCATAAGAGTTAACAGTTTTTTTCAACCATAGGAAAGAGAAGCATTCCCACAGAAATCCAGGCTCTCCTGCTCTTCCGGGCGTGTTTTCTGGCTCAGGATGCTCCACTGAGCAAGGCCACAATGGCGATTCCATCACTATGTGTATGAAACAGGTGACAGTGCAAGGAACCCTCAAGCCACGGAGCAACGCGTGTGGCACCAAAC